ATTGAATCCTATACTTATTCAGAAGCTGCTGAAACTCAGAATTTACGAATTCTTTGCCGCGATCCGTTCGAAGAATTCTCGGGGTACGTGGCTGGCCATTGTTCATAAGTATCCGCCTGAATGTCAGGGTTACTATCTTTGCGCTCTTTTTGGGCAGAGGCTGCACCCATGCGTATTTACTGAGAACATCGATGACTACTAACATGTAGGTGAATCCATCGTTGTATACTGATATGGCACGTAGGTCAACTGTCCTAAGGTCAACGGTCCCAAGTTATAACTTCATTCGGCATACCCTGCAGTTTGCGTAAGAGTGCTGCAGCGTTCTTTCGGTATCCTTTCGGTACACTTTCAATTATTGTTCTTAATCCAATACCATCATCAGTGTAATCGTGTTTTCGAGAGCTAGAAAAACGTGGTAGAATCGGTGTAATTGGAGAAAGTTTTTGGTAGGATGATTCTGTTGAGTCGTCAAAAGTTTCTGTATCCATCGATATCTTATGAGAGCTGTGTATTAAACTGAGATAACGTTGTAAAATCTGTTGATATGCGTTCCATTTCCCATGTTCATCAGTGTATGACTCTGATTCCAGGATTTCTTTCATTTCATTATCTAGACGTGACAATGTTGTTCCGTGTGTTTGTACACTTTTCTGCGTAGCGACACGATTATCGGGTGTCATGAGGGGCTGACCCCTGTCATCAGTAATGGTACCAATTCTGTCCTCCGGAACAAGTATCATCTTTCGTGCATATTCCATCTCTTTGATTGTCTTACTCTTACTATTTACTAATGAGGTTTGAAAACAAAGTCCCGAGTATAGGTGCTAGAAGCAGAGGCAGGAATCCCCCTCTTTGAACGATAATCTTCTTCTTTCTTGATAGGCACTTTTTACCAACAACCAAATCGCGAAGTACTTTTTTATACGGTTTTAATTTATCTTTCTGAGATTTACGAATTGGTATATTACCACGTAAAATGTTTAATGCACACTCACATATATAAGGTATCGACCCTGTATCAGCTCTTCTAAGTAATGTCTGACGCTGTTCTTTATTCAAATCACAAAGTGCCTGAAGGACAATTGTCAATTCCTTATTGGTCGTACCTCGCGCAACCATGGCACAAGAAATACTGATCCATTTATTGATTATTACCTTGGATTTATACCTTTCCGCGGTACGTACACGAACTGTTTTTCGTCGTTTGGAAAAATGGTACTGCGCACACGATAATCTTCTGGTGTGGATTGTTTCAGGTCCAATAGTATATAACCATGTGGCCGAGAGGTGGCGTCTAGATAGGCTTCTTGTAAAAACTTTGGGTTGTCAGGATAAACTTGCCGCGCGAGGTGTTGAATTTGTGCACGATCCCGGGGATTCTTAAAAAGTACTATGTAATTAGAATTTAAAGAAATATCTCTCTGACCACGGCCCTGATGAAATATATTCTGTGTTATGAATATTACGCTCAGATTTTTATGATGACTACCTTTTGTGAAGAGATCGGTAATGGTATGGCTCGATGACTCGCGCATCAAATCATCTATAATAATCAACTTTGGCCGTGAATCAGAACTGTAATCCTGAATTTGTGGTAGGCCTCCACGAAACTCAATCAAATTAGCGTTTAGGTATTGTGTAACTGTGGGTTGCCATTCCGCATAATACAGAAGAATTCGAGAAAATTTAGTGTCAGACATAGAAGAAAGGTATTGCGAAAATTTTTCCACAAAAACTGTTTTTCCGCATCCCGTTGGGCCACTTATTATAGACGTCCATGGGTGTTTCTAACGCGTATCCATGGTCGAGACTGATGGTGAAGAACCTCAAGCATTAGGTTTTATATGTCATACCCTCACGCGTAATAAACAACAAGAATACCAATACTGTTAATAGCAATTTTTATTATTATTATCATAGCCACAGATCAACAGAAGGATTTTTATTTATCCAATCTCGAAGTTGATGAGCTTGGGTGAGAGCACAATGTCCATGATGTTTGCTATTTGGACTGTTCAAAGTTGTATGGTAATCACATACAATCGAAGATTTTTCCATCTTGCGAGTCGTAAATTTACTTCTTATAATTGGAATGTGTAACGCCTCACCTTTGAATAGTTTAATAAATGTTCATTCTTCCTCTATCTCGTAAGTATACTATCGATACCCAGAAACGTCTAGAAGTAACACCCGGGTAATTTTTCGTCTGAGCAACTAAAAGTTACACGATTTAAATACTGTGACGCGCATCGTTTTTCTTGAAGAGAGAGAGAGCCGCGCCCAACCCGCGAATCCCACAGAAAGTGGGAAAAAATTATCAACTAAATAATTATTACCATAAAATAAAATTTTTGTCCGCAATTATGTCGGTTGACCCGGAGGTTACGCCAAAGCGGTTTAGGGCTTTGGGGCTTTCCCTGCTAATGCCGGAATTAGCAGGAGTTTAGGGAATTATAGGGGAATTTAGAGTAGGAAAATTGTAAGAATTATTCCCTGCTGCATCAGCAGGAGATCAGTGATTCGGTAAGGGGGGTTTAGGGTTAGACAAGGATTTTGGGATTAGCTAATTAGTGGGGAAATCGTGTCGGCCCTTGATCGCGTCGCGAAGAGGGATAAATTAAAAGTTATCATCCGACGTGGATTTAGGGGTTATTCTGTTCGCGAAATCTTCCCGGGGTGAACAGACTGGCTGCGAGTGCCAGCACCCCTAAAAGAGGGATCCGTGAGGAATTTTATATTACGTGTTGTGGTATATTAGAAGAGTAACGCCATCTATGTACATATTTATGTATTGTGTCATTCAGAGTTCCTGCTTTTCTCTCTCTTCCCCCATGGGTCTAATGGAGTGTACACGTTGTTAAGATATTCTAAATATAAATCGATGATCATCTACGACATCCCATTGTTTATTGATAACTGATCCCTGCCGTCTCATCCGCTATACATTACACGTGTTAGTGTTGGAAGGTCGGTGGGGGTGTTACGACCGACACCCCCGCCCCCCCCCCCCCCCCCCCCCCCGAATTGCCGTATTAGATAAGTTAGTTAGGTTTAGTTACATCCACGGATCCCCGGGGAAAAACAACCGGGAAAGACTAGCCGCGATAGTTCGTTAGTTTGGGTTAATTATTAAAATTTGATTCCCACATTAAAATTTGAATGGGGAGAAATTGCCGCGCCAGGACAATTAGCGCCGTCGCGTTCGATCCGCCGACGAGATACGAATTCCGCCATATTTTTGGCAGTTATCGCCAAGGCGCGAGAGACACAGGACGTTCCCCAGGAAAGAAGAGAGAAGACACTGGAAGGATCCCACACGACGCGCAAGCCGCGTGGAAAGGTGCGAAAAAATCACATAAATCTATCCAGTAACACCGGTTACTGGAGAACGCGTAATATTTTCGGTCGCGAGTGTGAATTGATCCTGTTCGATCAACGGATCGAACGGTGTTTTCTGTCCGTTGAGGTGTACGCGAGTGTTTTCTCGGCCATGGTTTATCCGAAAACCACGGCTGATCGCGTGTGGAGAATTTCTCATCCCACAAGGCCATTCCTGTGGAGGTTTTAAGGCGATATCGCGCGGAAAAAGACGTGAAAATCGCAGGGGAAACCGCCGAAAACCCGCGTGGAACGCGAAAAATTTGTTCCTCTAACCTTGAGAGGTGTCCAGGCCGTCGCGGCTTCGAGTGTTTTCACCCACTCCGCTCTACTCAACGTTGAGCGTGAATTCCAGCCCAACGGTGCTGAAGAAATCCCGTTTCCTAAAAACGGAGATATCGCGATCCACTTAAATGGTGGAACTCCCCAATTTTGGGAGGATGTTCGCGAATATTCCCCCTCGCTGGTGGAGTTGTCCGATGCCGATCGGTGAAGGCGTTGAGGCGTCGGGAATTCATTACCGTCGGAAAATTTATATACGCACACCATCTATGGTGGGCATAGCGTGATCTCTCTTGCACCCCAGCTTCCATCTCTCTCGCTCTCCCGTCTCGCCTCTTCTAGGCTCTCCGAGGATTTCCTCGATGATTTTAAAAATTCATATCCTACTACTTTACCCATTTTTTTTGCTGAGATTAATCTCGGACCTCTCCCGAGAGCCCGCGGAATTACGGGGAGTTAGCATTTATCATGCATCCATGGATAAAGATTATAATTAACTCTTATGGGGCCCTGAAATTTTGGGAAAATCCCGAGCCTCTCCTGAGGACTCGTGGAATTATGGGGAGGTTTTCAATCGGAAAAATTTGTCATAAATCAATTATATAGGATCCTGAATTTTCAGAGAAATCCCGAGCACCCTGCGGTGCCTCGCGGACTTAGAGGGGGTGACTTTTCCTTTTTTTTTTGAGAATTATCATCGCCATGACGGGTGAAATGAATACCGTTGGTCCCGGTCAACTACACTGTTAAAAATTTCTTTGGTAATTTTACAAGAAATGTGTTGGAAGTATATGCTCAAAGCAGTTTTGTAATTCAATAAGTCGGACTTTGTAATTTTACAAAACATTTCTTATTTTTTTTTGTTTCGGAAAGTTCAAAAACATAGTTACTAATTTTACTAATCGGATGATTAAAAAAAAATTAGAATTTTCTATGAGAAACATTGCAATTTTACAGGTCAGCATAATTGTAAATGGTTGGTAAAATTACAAATATTGTTTGGATTTTTCAAAACGATCAGAAAATCATTAGCATTGTAATTTAAATGTCATGTATAGTAATTTCACAACCAGTTTTTTACCTGGCTGGTTTTGTAAAATCATGAGAGAACCGTGTAAATTCATATACAATTTTCGGTAAAATTATATTAATAATAATAATTATTATTATTATTATTATATTATTATTTTCCTTGAGGAATATGCTTTCTATCGATATACAAAGGGTTTTTTCATCATAAAAATATGAAAAAAAATTATCGTTCATTTTTTAATTTTATAATTGAACAGTTTTCTTTTACATTTTTTAACACAAAAAGGGAATTATGAAATATGCTTATATACTCACTATATATATATTAAAACAACTCATTTTAGACTTTTTGTAATACGTTTCATAACATTGACAATAAACATATATGAACCAATTAAACGTTATTCTCTTAAGAACATCAAAGATAGTAATAGTTTTTCATGCCTTCGCGCTGCACAATCAGTGCAGTCTTGCACTGCAAAAGAAGCTCCCTGAAGAAATCATCTTCATCAGCGTGAGCCTTTGGTAAAGCTCATTCAATCAACAGCGCTAGACCTGTAGAATACCAATTTTTGCATTTGACCCATCATAAAGTGATTGTTTGAGAATTTGTAGTATAAAATATTGAAGAGCATACGTTATGATTTTAGCAACCATTACGAAAATATAAGTGAAATTAAGAAAATTTATAGAAATTAAGAAAATATATATAATTCCTCAAGTGAAAACATAAGATTAAGATTTAAAAAAACGGAAATCCATCGTAAAATCAATTCATAAATCGCTGGAGTCAAGTTCTTTGAATGAGTGGATTTCTTGAACAAAACTGGTGAGCTTTGGATGTTGAATGACTGCCTTTCTCTTACCACCTTTCTCTTTCTCACCTCGTTTGGTTCCTCAAGGAGGATTAATTTTGAGGAATAATCTGGAAAATTCAAACGACAATGACAATCATATCGGAAAAAAAAATGAAGCTCCTCAATCCACATTGAAATTCATGAATCACAGAAACATTAAATTCAAAAAGGAACATAATACTCAGTAGTAGCGCTGAAAGAGACTATGAATGAATTTGCTCTATTCTATTGCTTTTTAAAAAATTTTTCCACTAAATTGTCAGGCTATTGTTGTAATGAGGAAATACGTCGTATAATATCATTTCTGCGGACCGTTGGATCACTTCCAGAGTCCTTTCAATCTCTGGTGGGTAGGCAAATCCAAAAATGAAATACATTAGAAATGTTATCAATATTCCATCAAGGAACGAATTGACTCTGGTGATAGTTTTTTTCTCGATAACCACATCGTATTTACGAGCTGGATTGTTATGTATATCAATTCCTGAAAGCCATGCAAAGACAAAAAATTTCAATTAATTACCGTATTTTTCTTACATTCGTTGAACCACGTCATCATTACGAACCTCTAATAATTAATACTGGATTGAAGACATCTACGAAATTCAAGATTTCATCATCTTCTGTGTCTTCCTGAAAAACAAACAATCCAAAATTTAGTGGACGTGTTTTACTAAGAATTGTGTAACTAGATCTAGTGACTCACATTTATCAGTACATAAAGCAATTCGAGTTTTTCTTTAGATCAGATATAATTATTAATAAAATCAAATAATATGTTCTTATATGGGCATTTGTTGTTGAAGACATTGCAATATTCCTTGGCTTTTTTTTTTGTTCATTATAAATGTGTCTCAATTCTTCGGGAATATCTTGACCTTTGTTTCTCTTCTTGAATTTATCAACTGCGACTATTTCTCTGGTCCTTGAAAAATGAACAATTGGCACGTACAGCTCATTTAAAGACTTCTCCCAGGTTTCTACACAATTTATTCCTAGAAGATGATCTGCGTGGGCACCCTAGCAATTCACCATGGGCGGACCATCCACCCATGTTCTGCCCATTCCTATGTACTTAGCCGACAGGTGATTGCAATCCGCGAAATAAACTAATTCAGTCGTTTGTACTAGGTGTGTATCCGTTTGTACTGAGACCACAAAGTTTCGTTAGTTTCTATATTATTTTTAAATAAATAATTAAAAATCCACCATGAGTTTGGCCGACAGATTAGTAAAAATTGATATTTTTCAGGTAGTCATTTGAGGTTATATGAAGCATATTGCATGTTTTCACAAGATAATTCAGAATGGTGAAATGATAGTAATAGTAATTTCCAAGTAATTCAAGTAATTTCCCTCAATATTGACCACTATTCTATTTCATTTTAAAAATATCGTTATTTTAAATTTAAAAGCATCTTCGCTCCGCACGCCGTCGCCATTACACAAATCACGTGACGTGGCCTACACCCTTTGAACGCAGTGTCATAATTTTCAATAATATATTGGAAAATTGTTACTAGCCAACAATGAGATTAATAAATTATTCAACTACAAACGATTCTCTATCGATATAGACTGAAACTATTGAAAAATATTAATTTTTACTAATCTGTTGGCCAAACTCATGGTGGAGTTTTAATTATTTATTTAAAAATAATATAGAAAATAACAAAACATTGTGGTCTCAGTACAAACGGGTATACACCTAGTACAAACGACTGAATTAGTTCATTTCGTGGATTGCAATCACCTGTCGGCTAAGTACATACGAATGTTCTGCCCATGTTCCGCAAATGTCCATTTGAGGGCCAGAAACGATTGAAAATGGTCAGAATAAATGGCAACAGTTATTAGATTCATAATTATCAAAGAAATGGGGTACATGAAGCGAATCAGAAACGTTTTTCGAATTAATTGAGAAAAATAATTCGTAGTGTAATAATGCCATGAAGCGATAGTGTTGGGAAATCTGGCAGATGGCGCCAGTATGACGTGAATCGGGTGAGCGGGCTCTCGGTTGTAGTCGAACGGCTGTCGGCGAAGTGACGGGTTCACTACGTGTTGGGGGAGGGGGGGTATGATCGCGTATTTCCAATGATATTGTCCACTATTTTCTAAGAAAGGCCGCAATGAGTATGCACATATCGATTCAGAATCGAATTCTGAGTCGACCTGTACCTATAAATTTCGGACTATTTTTTTCACCCCCTACCACCCCTACCCAACATGGTCGATAGAGGTTCCCAAAAAATTGTCCCGGCAAATATGCATATATCGATTCAGAATTGGATTCTGAGTCGATCTATACCTATTGTGATGAACCCCAAATTCATCACCCGCGCGAACAACGAGCGAATATTAAAATGTAAATAATTAAGAAGAAGAGAAAAGAGAATAATTGTAACGGCCAGCGGGAAGGTAAGGAATGAATGAGAGTGTGAATGAGAGAGAGCAGAAAAATAGAAGCGCGAATAACGACGGGAAATATCCAGCAGAAAGTACAATAGATAGCCATAGAATAAAGAGTAATTAATCCATTAGAGGCAGCGGGGAGGGAATTACCGGATGGATACCGTGAAGTGCCCAGGAGTCATCTGCCGAATACGTGCCCGGCAAGGTCCTCCGCCCTAGAAAGGGCCAAGCTTGCCAGAGGCTAGAGAAACTGCAGACCAGGCACGGATCTGTGGGGGAGGAGACGCGCAGTTAAGTCGGAGTGATGACCCGCACCCCTGAATGTCGTGGGGATGGACCACCGAAGATGGGAGGCCTCGTCGCGGTAAGAAACCCACCGCCGCGGAGGTACCCGGCAAAGCAAAGTACCTGGTGGAAAATCTCCCGGGGGCAAACCGCGCCGACATTTCCCCGCTCCTGGGCGACTCGGGAGGAGAAGAGGACAGGAAGGAAGAGGGAGGGGAGCAATAGGAGAGACGTGAGCAGACAGTCGACGGTGAGCAGGAGTAGCGCGTGGACGGCCCACGAGAGGCGACCCGCGAGGCCTCTCGGCCCGCGCAGTCAGCCCCGGGGCGATGATTCCTTGCCCGAGAGCGTCCCCTAAGGGACCCCGAGGCGAGGAGGATGTCCAGGAGTTACCCTCGAGGCTCCAGCCCGGGTGGCGACCCTGGATAATACCGATGTCCGAGGGCGACCCCCTTCCGCCCCGAGAGTCACGAAGTGACCTCGGGAGGCAGAAGTGCGGCTCGCCCCTGATAATTCCCGTTCCGACGTCACCACCCCAAAATAAACTAAAACAGTACATCACAAACGACAGGCCGGAAGTCGTAACAATTAAATAAGTCTCATTAAATTAAATCGAAATAAGTAAAATAATAAATAATAAAATAAATAAGGAGGAGTGTCAGTGTGAGTGTGCTGTCCCGCCTGGCCGAGTGTAGAGACACGAATAAGTGCGACATAGGAGTAGTGATAAGTGAAAAGAGATAATAAAGGATATGTTGACGATCACGCGGAGTCGAATAGATCCCCGGACCCCGCCCTCTCTCCAAAACCTACATACTCGGCAGCGCAGGCACGTAGCCCCATCCTAGCACCGCATCCCCCGGAGGAGCAGTTAGCGGATCTGACAAAACGCAGCATAGGGGTAAGTGGGAGCATCAAGGGGCCGGTTAGCGGATCCGGCAAATACCAAAAACGCAGTCTCAAGGGTTTCATCGAGCGGAAGGTTAAAAGCCCGGTCTCGTCCAGGGGTGGCACTGGGTTAACAAAGTCACCTGGCGCCTGACTAGGAATTAATTGTGACGAAGTTAGGGGATGTAGGACTATGGTGGTACGGGTGTGGACAGGGATCGCCAAGAAAAGAGTCCAACCCGGGAAAAGCGTTACACTATATATGTTAGACCATTTTTTCACCCCCTACAAGCCCTACCCAACATGGTCCTACCGCAGGGTCCTAAAAATGTGGAACGCATATACCCTCACCCTATTCCCAATCGTTGTAAAAATGGTTGCCGTATGAAGGACGGTGTGGTTCAATATTGACAAATGATTTGAATGGAAATCAGTATATATTCGGATAGCTCAGTTGGGGAGAGCACCCGACTGGTAATCGGAAGGTCCCGGGTTCGATTTCCGGTCTGAAAATATCTCAATTTTTTCTGGAATTATTTGTAGACTAAATATATTGAGAAGTTATTCCCACCTATCCAAAATCGATTCCATCCATGATTTCCATTATCCTACCTAAAAATGTGGAACGTAAATACCACCACCCTATTCCAAACCGTTGTACTCCAACCGTTGTATTCCAACCCTACCCATCTTGGATACTGGTTGTAGGGGATGAAAAAAGTGGTCCGAAATTTATAGCTACAGATCGACTCAAAATTCGATTCTGAATCGATATATGCATACTTGCCGGGACCATTTTTTGGGAACCTCAGTAGGCCATCTTGGGCAGGGGTTGTAGGGGGTGAAAAGAATGGTCCCAAGTTTATAGGTACAGATCGATTCAGAATTTGATTCTGAATCGATATATGGATACTTGTCGGATACTATTTTGCATACTATTTTTTGGGAACCTCAGTCGACCATCTTGCGTAGGGGTTGTGGGGGTGAAAAAATGTTGCAAAATGTGTAGGTATCGATCGACTCAGAATTCGATTCTGAATCGATATATGCATAATTGTCGGGACTATTTTTTGGGAACCTCAGTCGACCATCTTGGGTCGGGGTTGTGGGGGTGAAAAAATGGTCCGAAAATTATAGGTACAGATCGACTCAGAATTCGATTCTGAATCGATATATGCATACTTGTCGGGACCATTTTTTGGGAACCTCTGTCGCCCATGTTGGATAAGGGTTGTAGGGGGTGAAAAAATGGTCCAAAGTTTATAGGTACAGATCGACTCAGAATTCGATTCTTAATCGATATGTGCATACTTGTTGGGGGAATTTTTAGAAAGCAGTGGACAATATCTGGAAATACGCGATAATAACCGCCCCCCCCCCCTTTCATAGTGAACCCATCACTTGGTCGGCTGCCGTTCGATTACAACCGAGAGTCCGCTCACCCGATCCACGTTACGCTGGCGCCTACTGCCAGATTTCCCCACACTATCGTTTCATTGCATCATTACACTACGAATTATTTTTCTCAATTAATTAGAAAAACGTTCCTGATTAGCTCCACGTACCATATTTTTTCATAAGTATGCATCGGGTAATTATTGTCATTTATTCTGACCACTTCCAATCGTTTTTTGTCCCTATATGAACATTTGCATAACATGGGCGGAACATGGGCGGAATACCGCCACTGAAAAGTTGTTAAATACTTTCATACCCTAGGTGGTATGAAAGTTGTAATGAACTTGGATTGCGAATGAATGATAACACGGACATTTTTTGGGAAAAAGCCTGTCGGCATCAAAAACCCAATTTATTTTCAGTTACAGTTCGATTATCCGACTGCGAATGATATTTTTCTCCCACGCACATGCACACACACAAAAGAGATTGAAATTCTCGTTTTCGCCTTAAATTACTAAACAAAACATGAACACTTATTCTATCGGTTCAGGCTGTCAGGTGCAATTGAGGAGTTTGCGTCCTGGGGATCGTGGCTTCTGTGCCACGTGGAGACACAAAATCGTGGGATTTTGTGCCGCTTGAGTTTATGTGAATATTGGGAGGTTTCGGTCGCCTTGCCGTAAGTTATTCACTACCAGTGCACTAGTTTTATTAATTGTGGGTTTGTGACAATCACTTTGATTTTGTTCAGTTGATTTGAGGTGATGATGATGTATTTTTATGTTTTTATGATGGAGGTTTTTTCGTTTGCTTCTCGCCAACGTGTTCGAATTAACTAACTATCAACTCACTTCTAGAGGAGAAATCCGCTCCCGTTTGGCACGCGCGAATGCAGCGACGCTAACGGAATCCGCGAGATGCCGTCACTGTCGATTGTCGATGCATGAGCGCGTGTCTCACAAGTGTTACAACGGAACAGCCACAGTTACACTCAAAATAAATTTCCAGGGCAATAATGATTTTGTAATTTGTGAAGTACGGCCAATTAGCGAAAAATTTGTCTAAATCCTTTTCTTTGTTTATACGCTTGCGTTGCAAACAATAACTGTCAGCCATTAATTGAGTAACTGATTCAACAGCTTCAGAAGATTTGTAATAATCCATCAATTCCAATCTTTTCTCTTCCTGGGATTCCCAGGTTTCATTTTCAGGTAGTTCAGGTGAGTATGCTACACAGCCATACTCGTCCTGAGCTTTCGGCTTCTTAGTTGGTTCTTGAAGATCTTCCGATGTATACGACTGTGAAGCTCCACTCCCGTTATGATCTTGTTTGACGTAGTTGATGCGATCATAAAGTTTCTGCCCAAGACTCGCACCTGCCCCTTCCAAAGTGAAACCCCCAATTTTCACCGTGAATGAAGCTGAGTAATTGTTGACTATTCGGTGACTCATTTTCTTTGCCATTGTGAGAGAAGTGTCCTTCAGATCGTTCGCCATATAATCTGCAACGACATGGATAAGACTTTTTTTTCACCAGAGTCCAAGAACTTTCCAGTACGCAGAGATTTTTGCACAGAAGATGACAATTAACAATAAATATTGTCTAAATCGGAAGATTGACGTGATGATGATTGACCTGGCTGAGGAATCCTCTCTGGATTTTCTGTAACTAATAGGGTAAATAAACATAAAAGGATTGCACTCGGTCATCGATCAATGTTTCTAAATAAATCAATAAAAATTGAACATGATTGCTAAAAAATTAGTTTGAAGTAGTAAAAAATTGAAATTTTTTATATTAATGAGGCCCAACAGTTGGAATTATTCATTTCAATTTACTTTTTACCTTCCAATACATCCGGTTTGTTTTTTGTCATTATGCTGCCATCCCAATCAATCCCATCAGGGACAAGAATTAACATCAACTGTTCTTTACTAGTTGAGACCAATTCTTGCAGTATTGCATCACCATCTATCTTGGTCAGGTCCTCCATGAAGATCTATTCAAATAATAAACCAATGGATTAAAAATTGGCTTAAACAAATAAAGTTATTATAAAAAAAATGGGAATGAAGGAGGAAACCTTGTATGTGATGTCCGTCAATGACAATTTTGTCTTCGCATCGATGAGCTCAGTGACCGTCTCCGCTTTTACAAGTTTTTTCAAAGATGGTTTATCGTGCCGTGTGACTTTGAAAATCGCCATTTTGATTCAACACCGCTACCAGTATCAGGAAGATATTTTTTTTACACAATAGTAAATGGACAATCAATGTAATAACTGAACCATGGCTCCTGTATTTGGGTATATTCCTACTATAGTTTTTTTTACATTTTTTCTTCAATAAAGTTTTTACCTACCTAATATTCCATTGAATATCGACAATAATTTGACCAATTCAATTGAATATAATACAACGATTCAACAGAAGAACATTCAAATTACAATGAATTTAATAAATGAATAAAAATAGGTAGTTAAAAAGGCTTACAATGAGACATTTATTCTATGAAGCGATCAGTTAATTATTTAATGATAATCACAAGGGACATTCAACTAATGCATACTTAGGCTTTATACATAAAACCGAACCTATTCTATAAATATGTAATTTTTGGAAGCTAACGAGCTCAGTAAACGATAAACATTTGTGCTCTAACACCTCACCCAATCTATATGCTCTTAAATAAGGGATAAATGTCGTTTTCAAGGCTTCCAAAATGAAATAAACTTCACTTTCATCATTCAAAATCTTGCAAATTCTTCCTACCGCAATTTTATACTGATAATTTCCTTGTGAAATAAATAATCCATTGCCAATTCGATATGAGACACCCTTTTTAATGATTTCATGACACTCAACAGTATCTGGGTGTAATTCCTTGGTTAATAAAGTTTGTTGAATCATTTCATTACATAAATTCACGTTAAATTTGTCAACTTTTTTAAATTGGAGTTCTGAACTAATTTCTCCTCCTAAACGAGCAAAACATTGAAACAATTCATGTTTAGTACTCAGTGATTTAGTGACATTAATGAAGTTATGTGAATATCTCATGCTTCGTTTGAAAAAACAATGTTTGCTCTCAGAACGAAGAGTCCATGACTTCATCAAGGGTCCAAACATAAGAATTAGGGATGGATAGTGGAAGAAAAAATGATGTTTTGGCCGAAGTGGTTGTGCAAATAATAATTTTCGTAAATAAATGTAATCACGAATCAGCGAATCTAAATGAATTGCAAACCTTTCATGTATTGCTGGAGCACATACTATCTCAACGATTTCTGATAGCAATAAGACACATTCCCACACCTCGTCGTCAAAGTCATCTATTTTATCATGAATTAGCAATGGGAATAATCGTAAAAAATTCCATATTTGGCATGCACCACCTGATAGTCTTCCCGAAGTTGGTGAAATGGAACATAACTTATCTCGTTGATCTTCTACTGCGTAGTCAAAAATTTCAATTCTATGATTGAGTAGTTTATATGAAAACCAACCTTTCTCAACAAGATCATCGAGAAATAATTTCAAGTCATAAGCAAGGGCACCTTCGAAAATATCATGCCCAAGACACGGAGGTAAGCCAGGAAGACAAACGTGATAATAATCTAATTGATTGAAAACAGAATTAAATATGATTCCCTCTATCAATATTTTTTTTTTATTCGTCTTCTTTCGTGAATACGAATATTTTTGTTTATTTAACTGGTTTATGACTTTCTTGTACGATTCAACAGTTCTTAATGGGTAATTTTCAAACGCTCCGTTTACGGTCTCAAAAGATTTTTTTGTAACCAAACAGTATCTGCAAAAGTACTGAGTTTTACTGAAATTCTCAGCGAATCCACCTAGTGCATGACTTCCTAGATCATCGCCAGTAACAAAGACTAGAAAACCTTTTACAATTTTACCAGGAGATATTTCAATGCCATCAATCTCAATAGTTTTCAAATCTTTCACTATTCTACCAAAAAGTTTGGAATGATCAAATATTTTCTCCTTGCATAATGCAACGAGGTACATCGAGTTGACATGTGATCTCATATCCTCTGGGTAGTTTCCTACGGTTAAGTAAACCGCTAAAATTTTATATTTAGCTTTTGCAGAACCCAGGGGATTTACAATCTCAAAACTGTCTTGATATACTATCAATTGAATTGCGTTATGATTATCACTAAAAAAATTATTATTTTTAAATAAACTCCAATCTGTAAAATCTCTCAACACTCTGCTGTCATTTTTGGGGAGATCAAATACCAATTTATGAGTGACTGATTTGTTATTGTATAATTGTTTAATAGTTTCTTCCAATGGCACATAATGAAAAAAAATTTTTTTCTTACTACTTGAATTATTGAGAGAGATTTGAATAGGACTGATATAAGGGAAGTGTTTTTCATAGATTTTTTTTCGCTTGTAAATTGTTCCTAAATTTTCATCAATACTATTGAAAGTTTCATTTAATACATTATCAAGGAGATTTTCAATTAATTCTGCTGACAAATTCAGTGCTTGTAAATGCTTTAATAAATTATTCTTAACGAGTTTTTGATTTTGTTCGCTCATTTTACATACTTCACTCGCAATGTACTGAACTGTTCATGCTGGTAAATAAAATTTGAATTCTAAATTTAAAAAAAAATGCGCCAAATTCATCAAAAATATTTCATCTGCATTGTTTTTCTCTTCACAACGGTAGTCATCTCTTTCGTGTTGTGTTTTAGGCAATGCTTCATCAACAGGGTTTTCAATAGTAATAGTAAATAAATTGGAAGAGTGTTGATTATTTTCATCATTTAACTGAGCTGGTTTTGAGAGTTTATCTTTTTTATGGACTTTACATATATGAGAAGAGAAAGAATTTGCCAAACGATTTTTTTTCTCGCAATTTGGAAAATAACATTTCACATTGATCCCCTGATTTATATGAGCTGTGACGAAATTCCAGGCGAATCCGTCACCTGTAATCACGTAGGGTAACTACCTAGCGTAAGGGCGAGAGAGAACCGCGGGAATTTAATAAAAAAGTTACCTGCTACCTTAGTTAAGCTCGCGAAAAGCTACCTGCTACCTTAGTCAAGCTCGCGAAAAGCTACCTACTACCTTAGTAAAACTCGTAGCAGTTACCGGCTACCCTAGTTAAACTCGCGAAAAGCTCCCTGCTACCTTGGTAAAACTCGCAAAAGCTACCTGCTACCTAAATATAATCCGGGGAAAAGCTACCTGAATAATCCCCGAGTAACTAGCTACCTGCTACCTATTCTCCTCTCGGAGACAGCTACCTGATACCGTCTCTGTTTTCCCCCAGGCTCGCGACGCTAAAATAATCCTTAAAGTAGTAAGTAGAAACAGCATCTGAATCCCTGCAGTTTAGAAGAACCCTGATAAAAATTCGGTTACCGTTATCGATTATGAAATAGTTTAAATTCCTCTAAAATCCCCCATAGAATAGTTGAAAATTGTCTGTGCGAAATCGGGTTAAGGGCTGGGGACTATCGAGAAAAATTAGCCGATATACTGTGCTTCCGGTAGTCCCTGAAACCCTTTTTGGGCTAATTGAATAGGGCAACCCATAGGTTAGGTTGAGACACCTACGCTCC